TTTTTTTTGAAGCAACTGATACCTGATTTGATTCTTTTTATATCATTTCCATTGTATTTGTTACTCTTTATACTTTGTTTCCTGTCTTCCTTTTTTTTTTCCTTACTCATGCAGGCTTGTAAGTTTCTTTTCATTTCTTCTTTTCTCCTTAGTTAATTGGGATTCTGCACTGTTCAGCAGGTGGTGACTTTTCCTGTCCCGCAAACCCAGACGGAGCCCCCAGACTTGTCTATGTCTGCAAGATGCTTCTCCTCCAGAGCTTCCCCTTGAACCCAGGGGAGACCTTTGCAATATTTTTATCCCCTCCCCGCACTTGAAATCTAGGATTTTGCAGCACACGTGTACATCTTTTTATTTTATTTTATTTTTTAAGGTTTTATTTATTTATTTGAGAGAGAGAGCCCCTGCGGGGATGGGAGGGTGGGGGGAGGGGCAGAGGCAGAGGGAGAACAGGGAGCCTGGCGGGGGTCCCTCCCAGGACCCTGAGATCAATGGACTGAGCCACCCAGGCGCCCCCGTGTGTTTCTTTTAAAAAGTCACCGCTGTCTAGAATATGGTGAGCCTTTCTGATGCACTGACTCAAGTCTCTTTCAGATTATGTAAATTCTCCTTTATTATCCCCCATCTGTAACTATTTCTCCTTCTGGAACGCCCATTATTCACATGTTAGGTCTCCTGGATTTTCTTTTTCTTTTCTTTTTTTCCTCTTAGATGTATTTTTCAAGTCCCTTTTCCATCATGATTTCCATTTCCGAGCTAAATGCCCTCTGGGTTCTGAGATATGTCTTCTACCTGATGTTCCAGATTACTAATTTGGCCACTCCTGAGAAAAAGCCTTTTTTTGTCTGGACCAGGACCTGAGCTTTCATTGTTGTTTTTGATGAAGTCTCCCATTAACTGCTCCTGCAGAGACGGCTGCCCACTGCAGGTGGGACTTCCTTTCCCTCTCCCAAGGTTCCCCTTTCGGACTGGGTCTGCTCATGCTTGGCGTGGAGCAGTGAGCGGTGGGAGGCCAGGTGGTTTCTGTTCTTCTGGGCCAGGGCAGAGAACTGGCAAACCACGGGCCCTCTCTTCAGCCCCCGTGAGGGGCCCGCAGGTCTCTGACACGGGGTGACCTTCCCCCAGCCGCAGGGAACAGGAGCAGCTCGCCCACCCCGAACCAGCCGGGCTCCCAGGACTCTGGACGAGTAGAGACAGCCGCTTCCTAGGGAATTCTTAGTTGAGATCGTGTGTGTGTGTGTGTGTGTGTGTGTGTGTGTGTGTGTGTGTGGTTGGCCCCTTCCTTCCCTCCCCTTTGCCTGCCTCACCCCCCCCCACCCCGCCCCGTGCTTCCTTCCTTCTTTTCTTGCTTTGCTCCTTGAAGAAACCACCAACTTTGCTCTAGGCTTCAGGGCTGTTGTACAGTTTGGCAGGTTGTTAACTATACAAGTGCGTGGCTCAGGGGGCGGAGTTGGTAGCCCGAGCTCCTCTCACCAGGCTGTGCTCTGGTGAGGGCGGATGTCTGCCTGGGGGAAGGGCTGCTTTCTGACAATTTGCACAGAGGCGTTCTTGCCAAGTGTCCCCAGGGCTACGCTGCCCACGGAGGGCACCTTTCCCTAACCTGAGCGAGGCTTTGAGGGGCATCCTTCCTTCCCGTGCTGCTGCCCAGTGCTCTTTCCAGGCACCACGGAGAACCTAGCTCTGTTCCCATTGGGAACCCCGAAGGGAGCCTGCAGCTTCAGGAGCACCAGGCTCTGCAAGGCCCCAGAGGGTGTTGGGATGGAGAGAGCCAGGGAGGGGGAGCTTGTCCTCCAGCAACGGGGACCGGCATCGAGCCCTGGGCAGCAGGAAATAAAAACGTTAGTTTGTTTTCATTTCCACCTAGAATTTTACTCAATTTATTTACAAAGAAATAGCCGGCCTGTGCAGTAAAACAAAAGCAGAAAATAACTCCAATCCCACCACTCAGAAGCAACAACTATTGATGATTCTACAGAGCTTTCTAACCTCTAAGATTTGAAAGTATTTCTGAATAGGGAATATAGGTGCATGGTATAAAATTCGAAAGGGACCAGAAAAGGTCTCCTTTCCCCTGCTCCCACCCAATTTCCTTTTTCAGACAAGCAGTTACCAGAAATATCCCATTTATTTACACGCAATGGGATATGTAGACATATATATTTTTCCCCACAAATGGTCACATTTCCTTTTTTTTTTAAGATTTTATTTATTTACTTAACAGAGAGAGAGCACAAGCAGGGGGAGTGGCAGGCAGAGGGAGAGGGAGAAGCAGGCTCCCTGAGGAGCAGGGGGAGCCCAGAGCAGGGGGAGCCTGATGCGGGACGCGATCCCAGGACCCTGAGATCATGACCTGAGCTGAAGTCAGATGCTTAACTGACCTGAGCCACACCGGCGCCCTTGGCTGTACACATTTTTTTAGCTTTACATTATATCAAAAGTGTTTAGCGGCGCCTGGGTGGCTCAGTTGTTAAGCGTCTGCCTTCGGCTCAGGTCATGGTCCCAGGGTGCTGGGATTGAGCCCCACATCGGGCTCCCTGTTCGGCGGGAAGCCTGCTTCTCCCTCTTCCGTGCCCCCTGCTTGTGTTCCCTCTCTCGCTGTCTCTCTCTCTGTCAAATAAATAAATATCTTTTTTAAAAGTGCTTAATCACATCAAAACTATTCATAAACAACAATAAAATCCTTTAAAATTATAAATGTTCACTTTAGAAAGATGACCTTACTAATTAGTAATTACCTCTTTAAAAAAAAAATAAGCAAGCTCTACACCCAATGTGGGGCTTGAACTCAAGATACCCCAAGATCAAGAGTCCCATGCTCTACCAACCGAGCTAGCCAGGCACCCCAGTAATTACCTTTTGGATATATATCTCTGTATATCTATTGCCCTCTCTATATACACTTTTATGTGTGTGTATACACACACATATTTACTTGTGTATGTTTATTTTACTAAAATGAGATTGTACCATTTTTTTTATTTTAAAGATTTTATTTATTTGACAGAGAGAGACACCGTGAGAGAGGGAACACAAGCAGGGGGAGCGGGAGAGGGAGAAGCAGGCTTCCACAGAGCAGGGAGCCCGATGTGGGGCTCCATCCCAGGACCCTGGGATCATGACCTGAGCCGAAGGCAGATGCTTAACGACTGAGCCACCCAGGCGCCTGAGATTGTACCATTCCTAACCTGCTTTCTAAAATGTAATATATCATAAACACTCTTCCTTGTTACTAAATATGATTGCATCCCTGGATTTTTCGAATTGTGTTATTATAAATAATACTGTGATGATGTTTGTATATATAATTATAATTTTAATCTTTAAAGTATTTCCTTAGGTCACAGGGCTTGGGTATTTTATAAGCTCTTTTTTTTTTTCTTTTTTTTTTTTTATAAGCTCTTAATACATATTGTGACTTGCAGTCCGGAGAGGCTGGTCCAGTGCCTGTATTCTCAGGAACAGGACGGGAGGCAGCTTGTCATCCCCTCCCCCCCCAACCTAGCATCAGCGGCTGCTTTTTTCTCACAGTTTCTATGGAAGCTATTAGGAGCTATTGACAGATTTTCAGTAGACAGATAACATAACCGGACTTGCATTTCGACTCTAGCTTCAGGGCCTGATAGTTCGGTCAGTCCCATTTGGCCCCTAGGAGGCATTCAAGAGAGAGGACGTCTCTAACCTGCTGCTATCAAGCCTCCCTGCTCAGCGGGAAGCCTGCTTCTCCCTCTCCCACTCCCCCTGCTTGTGTCCCCTCTCTTGCTGTGTCTCTCTCTGTCGAATAAATAAATAAAATCTTTAAAAAAAAAAAATAACCTGTTGCTATAGAGACAGCAATGCAGGCCTTCCTCCAACGGGCGGAGAGGATACTCCCTGGACAACACATACCGGGGGACTTTTGTGTCGGGACTTCAACTTCTGCGAGTCCCTCTGCGTTAGGCCTGCGTATTCTGTAGATCTCAGAACACCAGCCGCTCATCCCTCCTGAGCCCTGACTGCGCGCCAGACCCTTCACTGGGCGCCCACCAGGCTTCATCTCCTCTCAGGTTGGTACCATGATTGTGCTCCATTTTGCACACGAGAGAACTGAGTCAGAGAAAGTTTAAACACCTTGTCCGTGGCTACGTGGCTGGTAAATCTGGCCTCATACCAGTATGTGAAGCCTGTGCCCTTGACTGCTGAGCTTGCCTGCCTCAGGCCGCTTCCCTGGGCTGTTAGCTGGGCCACGGGCGTAGCTTCCAAGCCAGACGCCTCAGACTGCTTTTGTCTGTAGCACAATTTTAAGACATCAGTTTTTTGAGTGTTAAAAAAAGACAAAAACAAAAAACCCCACACACATGACTTCCAGATTTCCCTTCCTATTTCCTGCTTCCCTCAAAAGACTGGGAGCTGAGATATTTGATTGTAAGCTCCTTCGGTGCAGGGCCCACATCCCAATAGTCTCAGTAGGAAATGCTGGGCATCGTGGTCAGACTTTGGGAGCCCCAGTCAATTTAACGACTAGTGATGTTAAATAGAGAAGTCTCCCCTGGATTCAAATCTGATACAGAGGCCACAGTGTGAATCAAAGGAATCATGGTTGAACTCATTCAGTATCTAGACCGTTCGTGTGTGTGTGTGTGTGTGTGGTGAACCAGCTTTGGAAACAACATAAAAATACAGCATCGTGGCACCTGTGGAGTGATTTCAGAGTACTTTCAGGAGCATTTATAATCATAGCAGGCTCTGTGCTAGGTGTCGGACATACATTGAGCCATTATGGAGCCTGTTTTCCAGCACTTGAGAACCTGGCAGGGAAGCGATTATTGTCCTGGGGTTGGTTTGGTTTGGGCTGCTGCGGAGGAAGAAGCGGACGTTGGGACAACCCACGGGCCTGCACGGCCGCCCCTGTGCTGGAGCCTCACAGCGCGGACCGGCAGAGCCCTGGAAGGAAGGCCTCCCGTGCACACTGGGCTCTCCTTTGGTTCAGGCTGCTCAGCCGGCTCAGGCTTCCCGGTCTTTGCTTCTCCCTGTGTTCCTTGGACCAGAAGACTCCGCCAGGCTTCAGAGGAAGTGCAGGGAGTTGATTCTCATGTACCTAGAGAAGAGCACGTAGAGGCGGCGGAACCAGAGCAGTTGGCTTCGGTGGCAGGACATGGCTCTCTAGGGGAAGCAGAGAGGGCCGGTCACGGAGCTGTCTCGCTCCTTCTTTCCTCACCTGAACTTCCACCTCCCACGAGCACACCGGGTGCTGTGGCCCACTCCCGCTTCTCCCTTGACGCCAGAACCTCTGCGGATGGGCCTCCCATCCCTGCCTCCCCTGCCCCATCTCCGACCCCCAGCCCGGGGACAAAATCATGTGACGCTAATGGCGGCCACGGCACGCGGTCAGTCTCGGTGCATTAGGTGGATTTAGACCGCACGGCTGGCGCCTGAAGCCAGAGCCGCGTGAATGGCCCCGAGCCCACGTTCTTTTTTTTTTATTAAGATTTTATTTATTTATTCATGAGAGAGAGAGAGAGAGAAGCAGAGGAAGAAGCAGGCTCCCAAGGAGCAGGGAGCCTGATGCGGGACTCGATCCCAGGACCCTGGGATCATGACCTGAGCCGAAGGCAGACGCTTAACCATCTGAGCCACCCAGGTGCCCCCGAGCCCACGTTCTTGATCCCTTTGCTTCGCTACGTCGCGGAGATCTGTGTCCCGTTTTTTTATGGCTTTGCAGCACAATGCCCGACATGACACATGATGGTAAATATTCGGCCGCGCAAAATGTGCGGGGAGGGCTTATGGGAAGCGAGCCGCGAGCTACAATACTGTGCTCAAGCCGCTCTGAATTAGGTAAGCTGGGAGGAACAGGAAGTGGAGGAGAAGAAAAAAGAAGACATAGAGACCCGTTCACACCAAAGAGTACACATGGGTGTGGGGTTCTCCTTGCCAAAATGTTTATTGTCTTGTTATCCAGACCTAGCGCAGTTCAGTTTTTAAACCACAGATCGTAGCGACTGATGTAACTGGATATAACATATATAAACGGTTCCTGCCTGTCCTTCTCGAAGTACCAAAAGTAAACTGCGTCTCTGAGCTATTATCATTGAAGACCTTTATGTAAAGAACTCATTTTATTTTATTTTAAGATTTTATTCATTTGTCAGAGAGAGCGAACACACAAGCAGGGGGAGCAGCAGAGGGAGAGGCAGGCTCCATGCTGAGCAAGGCAGCTTGACGCGGGACTCGATCCCAGGACCCCGGGATCACCACACAAGCCGAAGGCAGACCCCCAACCGACCGAGCCACCCAGGCGTCCCCCAAAATGTTTATTGTAGAAAAACATTGAGGGAAGGGATGAACTTTGTAGTCCAGACACACTTGACTTGTCTATTTGTAACAGCTACCAAGTCACATGAGTTTCCCACATCATCCTGCCCCCAAGTGGTCTAATTTTCACGTCGCCTAACCTTTCAATGGCTTTTCAGCACTTTTCAATAAAATAGACATTTACTGTCAATTTGGTTTTTTACAAACTGTTTTTCTATTACTTTTCCAAGGGAATACAAAATATCAAAATGGTTTCGATCCCTTCCCCCCCTTTTTGGAGCATTTCCAGTACATTTTCTTCAAAGATATGATTTTGCGGGTTATCCAGTACTATATCATTCATCTACTGAATATTAGTTCCTTTTTTGACTATCAGAAATTATACTAATGGGCGCCTGGGTGGCTCAGTTGGTTAAGCAACTGCCTTCGGCTCAGGTCATGATCCTGGAGTCCCAGGATCGAGTCCCACATCCGGCTCCCTGCTCAGCAGGGAGTCTGCTTCTCCCTCTGACCCTCTCCCCTCTCATGCTCTCTCTCTATCTCATTCTCTCTCTCAAATAAATAAATAAAAATCTTTAAAAAAAAATTATACTAATGAACATTCTTGCTCATAAATCTCTAAACACAGGATCAGGATGCCTGGGTGGCTCAGTCGGTTAAGGGTTTGCCTTTGGCTCGGTCATGATCTCAGCATCCTGGGATCGAGTCCCGCAGCGGGCTCCCTGCTCAGTGGGGATGGGGAGTCTGTTTCCCCCCCTCCCTCTGTCCCTTCCCCTACTCGTGCTCTCTCTCTCAAATAAAAATAAATAAAATCTTTAAAAAAAATGAAATGACAACAAAGGGTTAAAAATAAAGGTATTAAAAAGCCCCGTGTTGGGTGTGGAGCAGACTTAAAGAAAAAAAATAGCAAAGGTATTTAAAAAAGATGAGCCAGGGGCGCCTGGGTGGTTCAGTCGTTAAGCGTCTGCCTTCGGCTCAGGTCATGATCCTGGGGTCCTGGGATCGAGCCCCACATCGGGCTCCCTGCTCAGTGGGAAGCCTGCTTCTCCCTCTCCCACTCCCTCTGCTTGTGTTCCCTCTCGCTGTGTCTCTCTCTGTCAAATAAATAAATAAAATCTTAAAAAAAAAAAAAGAAGAAAAGAAAAGATGAGCCAAGCAGATCCAAGTCCAAAGAAAGCTCTTACAGCAACGTTAGGATTAAAATAGAATTTAAGGCAAAACCATTAATAATGAGAGACACAGGATAATAAAAGGAATAGTCTACTAAGAAGATGTAACAACCTTAATCTTTTGTGCGCCCAACACAAATAAAGCAAACACAAAGAAATGGGCAAATGCAAACTCACAGTAGGAGACCTCAACATACTTGCATCATAAAGTAACAGATCAAAGTTTAAGAAGTAGTTAGAATACACAAGTTGTGACTGAAATATGTACTAAGTTCAATCTGCTGGTTATATCTAGAATCTGAAGTGCAACCCATAGAGCACACACATTCTCTTTAGATAAACATGTTAACATTTACAAAAACTGATTATAAAGTAGGTCATAATGACCAGAGAGCAATTCAATTCTAAACCAACAATAAAAAGGCTATAGGATGATTCTTGTTCTGGTAGCTACGTTCTATAAAGTTACTGCAAACACCTGAATTAGTCAATACTACATCATTGTTCCTGGGGGAAATAAAGGTTTTGGTTCCTGAGAGCCTCTGGTCACAACATTTTCATCAACCAATCACTACATAACCTTGTTTTATTTGTGTTTCTGTTTAAAGACACCTTATTTAATATTATATTATCAATTCATTCACCGAATTCACAGCCAACGGGGCTATAACTCATGCATGACTGAAGCTTATCTAACACACATACTTTCTCTGTTAGCAGTACCACAGCTTTCGTGCCCTTAGAATCACTAGACAGCACTTGAATGGCATACTTAGAGGACATTTTAAACAGTAAAATCACAACAAAAAGCACAGAAATGAGAACAATGTGGCACCAAGACCATGGTCATGGAGTTGCCAGATGACTCTGGATTGGGAGGAATCATACTGTGGAAAGGATACTTGTTTGCAGTATGAGAGCTGAAACAAGAAGGCAAAGGGTCACCTTGTTCAACCACAGTTGGGAACCTGTGTGTGTGCATCGGTGGTAACTTAAAACTTTTCACTGCCCTGCAAATACGATGTCCACAAGTGACTACAAAAGCACTGTATTAATTTTGGGGTTACAAGGAAATTTTAGCATGTAGGCACATTTGCAAATATGGAACCTGTGGATAATGATTGACCCTATATATGCACACGTACGCATTTGTAAACTCTAAAATACACCCTTACAAGCCTCATGTATTAAAGAGGAACTCACAGTGGAAACTATAGATTGCTTCTGAGTGACAGAAGTATGTGTCAAAACTCATCAGATGCAGCTAAAGGAATACTTCAAGGGAGATTAATAGTATTAAAGTGTATTTTTTAAAAATGATTGAAAACGGAAAAAAAGCTGACCTTGTCAGTCCAAAAAATTAAAAAAAAAATAACAGTGTAAAACCTGAATAAAGTAAAAGGACAAAAATAAAGAACAGAAATTAATGAACTATCAAATAAAACAAAGGAGAATTCATGTTTCTGGTCAGTGTTGCATTCTTGGCATCTAGCAAAGTGCCTCTTAGTGGGTATACACGTTTATTGCAGACAGTTCAGAAAATAAAGCTAAGCAAAATAATAATAATAATAATATAATTATCCTGAGTTCTCTTAGGTTTACTCATTGCTACTCTTCTCTCCCTGGTAGACTTAAGTCAACTGGGGGTCAGATTGGAGGAATTCTCCTTAATTGCCAGCTCTCTAACTCCACAGTTTTCAGAATCACCTGCCCTACTGACAGCTAAGAGTTTTCACTACGAGGGCTTCACTGGCCCTGACATTTCTTCAATAGGCAAATAAGCCTCTGGTGGTCTTTTTGGCTCTTTATAGAGGTTCCTGGCAGGTCTGAGTTCCTCTACGTATATCCATGCAGGGGAATGCAGGCACCCATTACAATTCTAATGCATAATGACATAGAAGAAAATGGTCAGAATGTTGTTAGAACAGGTTTTAAATGGTAGGCACTGTGGGATTCCGTTAAAAAAATATATATATTAACCATGATTATCTCTGAGTGGTGGCATTCGGGGTAGTTTTTATTGATTATCTTTATTTTCTTCTTGATGCTTTCACATAAAGTATTTCTAGATATTCTACAATGAGCATATATTTTTACTTTTAAAAAAGCATGTGTTACGTTTATGATCAGAAAAAAGGGCGAAAGTCCTTGATAATCTATGACTGCCAAGGTCTAGCTGGATAGTCCTAACACTCAGATGCTGAGCCACTGCGGAAGGTCTTCATTTAATAATTTTTTTTTATTGTTATGTTAACCACCATACATTACATCATTAGTTTTTGATGCAGTGTTCCATGATTCATTGTTTGTGCATAACACCCAGTGCTCCACGCAGAATGTGCCCTCTTTAATACCCATCACCAGGCTAACCCATCCCCCCACCCACGGAAGGTCTTCATTTAGGGGTCGGGAGGAACCAGGGACACAGATCGGGGGGAGGGTGTCTGGGATTTCTCAGTCCTCACTCACCTTGGCCTGTGCCACTTCTTTGCTGGTGAGCACGAAGAGGACATCCCGGGTGTGAAGCAGAGAAAAGGGCAGGTCCAGAAGGGAGATGTACTTGCGCAACACATTCACTGACTGAAGCGTGAGCACAGAACACCCTGGTTGGGGGGAGCAGAGAGGGGAGAAGTGAAGAGTCTTGTTGCTTCCAGGCAGATTTTTCCTGAGCACCCTACCCCTCCCTCGGGGCTCAGGGCAGGGCAAGACCATGGCCATGGAGTTGCCAGATGACTTGGTAGCACCAAAGGTGCTCTTTGCCCATCGTGCTCACAGATAGAAAGAGTGAAAGGACCCCAGAACGCCTGGCCGGCTGCCCTCTATGCAAGCCCTAGCAAGACAAGGTTGGTCGCTAAGGTTGGAAACTGGCTACTTCAAGGGCAAGGGAAAGGTGATGAAGGTCAGAAATTTCTGGATTGGGAGGCAAGAGACCTAGTTCCTGCTCTGACGCTCGAGACCTGACAGACTTCAGCTCTCTGAGACTCAGTTTTCTCATCTGTAAAGTGGTGTTGATGGTGTGGGAGCCTGTCTCACAGGGTTGGTACCAGCCCACTCAGGAAGAGCACACTCCACTGTGTTTTCATTTGCTTCACCTTCATATCACTCCTGAGGGATGTCTGTTATTCCCATTGACAGACCAGAAACTGGCCTAGAGAGGTTAAGCATCAGTGTCACACAGTAAACGGCCAAGGGGGGGGAGTCAAACACCTTTCTAGCTCAAGCACGTTAACCCATCAAGTGCCCATCAGCTGTTTATAGCCTGGTTAAGTAATGGGGGGCTGGGGTGTGAGTTTAGATGGACAGACTGAAAGAACACTGGAGGCGAAAAAGACCCACCTGGGGAGAAAGCTAGACAGATGAGTGGGCAAGGCCTGGTGTCATGGTTAATTTCATGTGTAAACTTGACTGCATCACAGGGTACCCAGATGTTTGGCTGATTGTTTCTGGGTGTGCCTGGGAGGGTATTTTTGGATGAGACTAGCATTTAAATCAGTGGACTCAGGAAAGTAGATTGCCCTCCCCAGTGTGGGTGGTCATGGTCCAATCCATTGAGGGCCTGAATAGAAGACTAGGTGGAAGAAGGGAGAATTTGTTCTTTTCTGCTTGACTCTTGAGCTGAGACGCTGGTCATCTCCTGCCCTTGGACTGGGATTTACACCATTGGCTCTCCTGCTTCTCAGGCCTTTGGACCCAGACTGACTGACACCACTAGCTTTCCTGGGTCCCCAGTTTGCAGATGGCAGATCGTGGGGCTTCTCAGCTTCTGTACTTGTATGAGCCAAGTTTATAAGTCTCTTTTAAATATGTATCTCCTATTGGTTCTGTGTCCTTAACACATCCGGCCTCCCCTCACACCCAGAGGCTGCCTGGCTGACAGGGCACTTCCCAAAGGATACAACCTGGTATTAGGGTCTGAGGACCCACAAGGACAGACACAGTGAGCTGGGTCAGGAAGCGTGTGGCCCAGCCTTCCCAGCCCCGCCTAGGGAGGCTTGACCTAGGGCAGTTCTCCATATATTTATAAATTTCACCCAATAACTTTCTTAGAGGTACAGTAATTCGCAGACTTTTGCAAAACAGACAACTTACCGTTAGGTAACTTCCCTTCTGAGTGCAGGGTCCTGGAGGAGGAAGGGACAGGAGTGAGAGGGAGCAAGAATTCCTTTGCCGATAACAGGAAGAGCCTTCAGAGTATAGGGGTCAAGGGCAGGCCTCTCCAAGATGGGCCACAATGGCATGTAGATTACCTTGAGTTAAAAGCAATCAAAACCCAGCAACTTCAGGAAAACCACTTTACACCCCCCGCCCCCAACCACCTAAACTTACATTGGAAAGGGGGCCTGTACCAGGAAGAGAACTAGTCATAGAGATTCCTTTTTACCTAAGAAACTTATCTGCATAACAGGGCCACCTTTGTTTTCCAAACATCTCTCACCTTCCTGCTAACGGTACTCCTCTCCTTGTACGCCAGACTCCCGTCCCGCTCCTGAGCTCAGGATGCCATATAAGCCTCATGTTGCCTGACAGTCTTTGGAATTTCATGTTTGTATGGGTTCATGTTTGTATGGATTTTGTAGGACAAAATTAAATTTGATTTTCTGCTGTTAATCTCTCATGGAAATTTAATTCTTAGTCTGGCTAGAAGAACCTTGGACAGAGGAATATTTCTTCCTCCCCAACAGTAGTAAGGACCGCCACACCCTATGATCCCTCTGTAGGTTTCTAGGTAGTTTCTTTTGCATCAATCACCATATAGGTTTCTGGGATTCCATACCTCTGGCTACAGCGGAAGGGACAAGTGTGGGCACCTTCCCCAAGGTCAGCCAATCTGGGGGATGACCAATAGTTATGAAGTGCCCTGGTCCAAGCTTTGCCCATTAGAGATGAAGGTAACTATGATGGACTCTTCAAAGTTTCTCTCTTGAAATTGTAATATGAGTGTGACAGGAGACTATTTTATTATTTATTTATTTATTTATTTCCTTTTTCTTTTTCTTTTTTTTAAGATTTTATTTATTTATTTGACAGAGAGAGACACAGCGAGAGAGGGAACACAAGCAGGGGGAGTGGGAGAGGGAGAAGCAGGCTTCCCGAGGAGCAGGGAGGCTGATGCGGGGCCCGATCCCAGGACCCTGGGATCATGACCCGAGCCGAAGGCAGACGCTTAATGACTGAGCCACTCAGGCGCCCCTAGGAGACTATTTTAAAATATTAATTGATATTTCTTCCCTGATAGTTCTTTCTTTTTGACCTCCCCTGCTCCCACCTTCTCACAGTGAAGGCCATTCTGTACTCCCTGCCTTAAAGGAAGGTGAGGCCAATCCAACAAAGAACTCCAAATCTCTTGCCTGCTTTTGTTTGGAAGCGCAGGCATGGAGAAAGATGGGATAAGTGGTCCAACCCCACCACCAACACACAGACAACATACTCATATGAAATGGATTCCAGTTCTACTTCCGCCATTGTTCAGCCCGGCAGTGCTGGGAAAACCTCTTCACTTCCTCAGTTAAATGAGGTGGTTGGACTTAATGATAGGTGAGATCATTTCCAACTTTATATATATCACTGCTCTAGTCTGAGAATGTTGGGCATGTTTAGAAGAAAGTTAGAAAGTAAGTCCTTTACTTCAGGTTGCCCCTTCCCTTCCCCTAGGCCAGGTCCACCACTCCTTCACTCATGGCACCCAGAAGTACTTCTCTAGAGGGCGGGAAACATGGTATATATTTGTACAATCCTGAGTAAGTCCCTCAATATCTTTGAGGTGCATTTTTTGGTGTTTCTTACCAGAAAATACAGATGCCTATCAGTAAAATAGGGTGGCTATGAAGAACAAAAGTTATCCTATTACATATGTATATCTTCCTTCTCCAAAGAAAGATTTGATATAGTGTACAAAATGTACAATGGAAGATAACAAAAGAAATTAGAATAAAAGGAGGAAAGGGAAGCCTGGGTGGCTCAGTCGGTTAAGTGTCTGCCTTCGGCTCAGGTCACGATCCCAGGGTCCTCGGGTCAAGTCCTGCGTTGGGCTCCTTGCTCAGCGGGGAGCCTGCTTCTCCTTCTGCCTGCCGTTCCCCCTACTTGTGCTCACTCTCTCTCTCTTTCTCTCTCTGACAAATAAATAAATAAAATCTTTTTTAAAAAGGAGGAAAAAGAAGATGAAGCCAAGAGGCACACTGATTCACAAAACTCAGTCCTTCAAATCTCCCACATGTGCTACATGGGGTTGCGAATTTGGCCCAAAAGCTCTCTGTGGCCAAAGCAAAGAGAGAAATAAAATGTTACCCCATTTTTCCAAGTGGAAGAAGCTCTCAGGAGTTGAGGAGACAACACAATAATATTAAGACGACTGAAGAGGGATTTCTCACACGGAGGGCCTGGTGAGATGTAGTGAGCAATGTGGCCAACACTGGCTCTCTGTACCTCAGTGGTCAGTTCCACGAGGCTCAGACGGTGAGGGGGGAAGTGCTTTAGAAACCACCCGCCCTGAGCAAACGAACAGACCCTCTCCCCCCTCCAACACGCAGAGAGTCCTACCTCACGGCCGCATACAGAGCAACGTGATTGCAGTGACCACTGACTCCCCCTGCATCGAAAGTCACCACCTGTAGAGAAATAGGGCGGTCACTCACGACTGAATGCTTTCTCTGCCTCAATTTCAAAGTAGCCGTCCCCGTTCCCCTGGCCAGAAACGTTTCCAATTCTGCGTACACCCGAACTCACTTCGGAGTGGATCAGTGGGATATAACCATTGCATTGGCCAGGTGTGTGGAGACTGTTTGTGTGGGTTTTACTGTTTACTCTTGTTCGGGGCCAGTGAAGCAGAGTGGAATTCCGCCATGATAGAAACCCGGGTTAGGGTATCTTTGTTTCTTATCTGCCTGGCCATTTATTAGCACACTTCATTTTCCTGGCTGGCTGCAGTGTGAACTCTGTTCTTGTAGAGGCTGCCTGATTTATTTGGCCTCTTTTCCTTGGGCTGTACTGAGGGCACAAAGACTTTGAGGGGCAATGTCCACCATGCCCTGGGGTTAAAATCACAGAAGTCTACTTCCTCATGGACTGCCTCTGTATCATCTACTTATTAATGATAAGCTTAGTCGAGGTTCTAACATTTCATTTCTGCACAGATGGATTAAGAAAAAGACCAAATAAGTTTGAATAATAAATCATGTTAGCTTAAATTGTAAAAGAAATATAAAAAAGAGAACAGGGACTCAGAAAAAGGAACAGGAGTGGTTGGTTAGGGGTAATGGAAAGAGGCAAGCTGTCCCCAAGGAAAGTGGGCGACCGTGCCGCATGGACTAAAGTGACCGGGACTGGGATTGGTGTAAGCTGAGAAGGGCTTCCCTATTGGACTTTCTATTTTAAATCATAAAATGCTGACTTCACGTATAGAGAACTCTCTCTTACAGTGAGAGCAGCAAACCTCTATTGGGCACAGGGTGGGGGGGTGGGGGCTGTAGATTAGAAGAAAATTTAAAGTCCTGTTAATGGATCCTGACTCAAACAAGCCGTAAAGATAAGCACAAAAGAAAAACCTATTTATGACATGAGACTAATGGAAATATAAAACACTGATATTAAGGATTGTGAATGTTTTGGTGTGACAATGGCATTATAGTTGTTAATAAAGGACTTCTTGTCGACTAGAAACGCATGCTAGAATATTGAAATATGAAATATGATGCCAAAGATTTGCTTCGAAATAATACAGGAGGTGGGGGAGGTGAACAGCTGTTTAAATGAAACTGACATTGACTGTGAGTTAATAATTACAGGAGCCGAGTGATAAGAACATGGAAGTTCATTAAACTCTCTACAGTTGCAGGCTTGAAATTCTCCCTAATGGAAAATTAACAAAACAAATAAACAAACGAAAAGAGTTAAAGGCTTATAAAAAGCAAATCATGGACATGGGTCATTATACATTTGTCAAAGCCCATAGAATGAACAGCACCAAAAGTGGACCCTCATGTAAACTATGGACTCGGGAGTGATGATGTGTCAGTGTTGGTTTATCGATTGTAAAAAATTTGGGGGGACAGGGAGTTTCTGTGTACCTTCCACTCAACTTTGCTATGAACCTAAAACTGCTCTAAAGAACGCAGTCTACCGGGGTGCTGGGGTGGCTCAGTCGTTAAGCGTTTGCCTTTGGCTCAGGTCATGACCCCAGGGTCCTGGGATCGAGCCCCGCATCGGGCTCCCTGCTCCGCGGGAAGCCTGCTTCTCCCTCTCCCACTCCCCCTGCTTGTGTTCCCTCTCTCGCTGTGTCTCTCTCTGTCAAATAAATAAATAAAATCTTTAAAAATAAATAAATAAATAAAAATATATGAACACCAAAAAAAAAAAAAAAAAAGAAAAGGAAGGAAGGAAGGAAAAAAGCTACATGAAATATGCCAAAAAAAATAAAGAAAAAGAAAAAAACCAGGAACAGTCTGACCAATATGTCACCGAAAATCTGCTCTTAGGAAAGGTCTAATAGGGGCAACCGGGCTGGCTCAGTCGGTAAAGCATGTGACTCTTAATCTCAGAGTTGTGAGATCAAGCTCCACGTTGGCTGTAGAGATTACTTAAAAAAAAAAAAATCTTGGGACACCTGGGTGGCTCAGTTGGTGAAGCGGCTGCCTTCGGCTTGGGTCGTGATCCCAGGGTCCTGGGATCGGGTCCCACATCGGGCTCCTTGCTCAGCGGGGACCCTGCTTCTCCCTCTGTCTGCCACTCCCCCTATTCCTGCTCTCTCTCTCTCGATCTGGCAAATAAGTAAATAAAATCTTAAAAAAAATAAAATCTTAAAAAAAAAGGTCTAATAAATCATTTCACTCAGTGAATTTAGCACTGAATTTAGCACTGTGCCAGCAGAACTCATCAAAACATAAACCAAAAGATTAGGGCTTTAAGTGGTAGAATTTTAGGCATTAACCCATGAAGGAGTATTATTATCATTTCAGAGGTGGACAGTAAGCCTCCTCAGCCGCCTTAATATTGACCACTGGCAAGGCCTGGTCCAGAGGGTCCCAGTAGAGCTGAGATGGGGGCTCCAACCCTGGCTCACCTCTGCAAGTAAATATGAATCTCCACCATTGCTCTATCTGTGACTAAAATGTTCTCCCGGCAGCGCATGTGAATATATCCTTGTGTTTTCTGGAGTGAGAAACTGAGGCTTAAAATCCTAGCTTCACCCCTTGCTGACCTCGGGCAAGCTTCTCAGCTTCTGGAAACCCGAGTTTCCTCAATCTCAAATGAAAATTATAGTAACATCTGCCTCTTAAAGTTGAAATGGTCCCCTAAATATGAAAATGCTTGGTAAAAGGTGAAGTTCTGTATAAATAGGAGTATAGTTTGGGCTCCTAGGGCCCTGAGTTTTTAGATGGCAGGGCAGGGGCTGGGGCTGGGGATGGTTAAAGAGGACAGTTTGGAAAAAACCCTCTGTCTCCACCTGAGCCTGACAGTTTGGTTACACAGTCTCACAAAAGGTGTGTTTGGTCCTCTGTGGGTTTATTTTTAAATTTTATCTATCTATCTATCTATCTATCTATCTATCTATCTATCTATCTATTTTTCTATCTATCAGAGAGAGAGAGAGTACACACAAGCAGGGGAAGCAGCAGAGGGGGAGGGAGAAGCAGACTCCCCACTGAGCAAGGAGTCCAATGCGGGACTCAAACCCGGGACCCTGGGATCATGACCTAAGCCAAAGGCGGATGCTTAACCGGTTGAGCCACCCAGGTGTCCCTTTTTTATTTTTATTTTTTAAAAGATTTTATTTATTTATTTGAGAGTGAGTGAGTGACAGAGAGCATAAGTTGGGTGGAGGGGCAGAAGGAGAGGGAGAAGCAGGCTCCCTGCCCAGTAGGGAGCTCGACGTGGGACTCAATCCCAGGACCCTGGGATCATGAACTGAGCCGAAGGCAGACGCTTCACTGACTGAGCCACCCAGGCGCCCCCCTCTGTAGGTTTAAAAGAGAGTCTAGGGGAGGGCAGCCACAGGTAAAGGGGTGACCAGGATCCCCAGCTTTGCATTCAGGGAGGGTGTCCGCTTACCAGGTTGATGCCGTTCGCATCTATGTGCTGGAGAAGGATGCTGGCCACACGCTCTGTGTCCCACTGCACATCTGGGTCATCTGGGAAGTCCCTGGAAGGAAGAAACACCTTTTCTAATCAGGTATGAACTTCTCCCTAAGCTCTGGTAGGTGTGTGTTAGACCCGTGATAGGAATTGTATGGGGCGGGGGGGGGCACCCTTAAGGATCCAGATTTCAGTTAAAGAGGTAAGATTTAGAAACGTGACACAACTAGAAATCAGTGCACACCTCCACACAACACACTTTTGGAGCTTTGTGTTCGCTGCCGAGGGGAGGAGACAGACACCAAAGAGACAAGGCTTTGATCTGAAGCTGGGGAGACGTATGGGTTAGGAACAAATGTGGACACACCGCAGGTTGATATGTATCTTTACAAGAATAATAGCAATAGCGACTTAATAAAAAGTATAAAGCTGTGTTGCTTCGTTTAACCTCATGAACATCTGGTAAAGGAGCCTCTACAGACGATGTTAGGTAGCCTGCTTGCAAGGTTGTTGGAGGTGGATTTGAACCCGGGCTTTCTGACTGCAGAGTCAAGATGTTCTAGCCCTAGGGAGCCAGCAACATCCTCCCTCCAATGGGGCTGCAGCACAGTGGGGCTGGTCTCAGGAGCAGAGGTCTGCACCTTATCTCTGTCTCCACTTGGCCACGCCATAGACCTCTCTAGACCTCTTACGTCTCTTTTTCTTTGTGCATTGATCTATGGCAGCACCGAATATGGGGCCAAAGCCTCATTTTGACCTCAATTTGAGGATATTATTGATAGTCTTTTTATTTGCTTATTTATTTATTGAATTTTTAAAATGTAATCTCTGCCCCCCAAAGTGGGGCTCAAACCCATGACCCCGAGATCAAGAGTTGCACGCTCCACTGACTGGAGCCAGCCAGGCGCCCCTATTCATAGTCTTAAAAATAGATATCCACCTCTCTCTCTCTTTTTAAAAAAGATTTTATTTATTTATTTGACAGAGAACGAGAGAGAGAGAGCATGAGCAGGGTGAGGGGCAGAGGGAGAAGCAGGCTTCCCACTGAGCAGGGGGCCCGATGCGGGGCTCGATCCCAGGACCCTGGGATCATGACCTGAGCCAAAGGCAGATGCTTAACCAACTGAGCCACCCAGGCGTCCCTACAATTATAGCTTTTTTTTACAGGGAAAGGATACAGATTAAATCAGCCAAAGGAAGAGATGCACAGGGCAGAGTCTGAGAGGGTTCTGAATGTGAACAGTCTATTGTCCTCTCCCTGGGGAGTCAGGACGTGTTATTCTGCCAGCAGTGATGTGTGACAACATACAGGGAGTACTGCCAACCAGGGAAACTCACTGCAGCTTTGGTGTGCAGAGTTTTTATTGGGGTTCCATTGCTTAGGCATGACTGATTGACTGTCCATGTGGTTGACCTCAGCCTCCAGGTGGGCTGACCCTGTATGGCCCAAAGCCCTGGCCCTAAAACCCCAAAGATACTGCTCTTAGGTTTGACACAGATTACTTTGCAGAAGCCAAGGGCAAAAGCCAGATCTCTCTTTGGGCAAAGCCAAATTCTTTACTATCAACCCTCCTTACATTTAGGAATCGTATTGGACTTTTCTATCAACTGTGGCCTGGACCACCCCTCTTAGCACCTGATTCGATACAGCATTTCTCTTATTTTCTATTGCTTTGTGTGTCTCCCTGACCTAACATCAAAATATGGGAAGAGACCTGTGTCTCGCTCTTCTATTTCTCACGTGGAACTGGGTACAATCCAAATCAAAGAACAATTTATTTGAGTAAACAATAAGTAAATGAGCTTCGGCCATGGGCAAGGAACTGCGTCAAGGGCCTTAATAAGCAGCAGCTGGTTGACAGAAGTGGCCTCTGGCTGAGCCAAAGGCGGCTATACCAGCCTTTGGGGTTGGAACACATGAGTGGGAGGTTTGGGAGATAGCAACTTTATAAAGCAGATTAGGCACCAAAAAATGTGTGAATTGTGGATAGGAGCAGGGCATCCCAGTGGGATCACCTCCCCTCCAGACAGGGACATAGAAAATTTGACCCTGGGAACCTTCAAACAGATGGAAAAATGACTCTTTCAGACCAACTATCTGAGCTGTTCTTTGCCCAAAATTCAACCCTTGTCAACTCGAGTCTCGAGTCCAAGTAATAACATTCGCAGTTCCTTTCTTCTCTGATAGATGAACAATTCCACCTTAGGTAAACATGCTGGCAGAATGTAAACAGAAGTCAGTCAGCCGTTAGACCCTTCCTTGAAGAGACAGTTGGTGAACGACCTTTGCCCCATTTTTCTTTGTCCCGTCCGTTATTATTGTGGGATTAAGAGTCTCAGGCTCTACCGACTGAGCCAGCAAGGTGCCCCTATACATACCTTTTTGTATGCATCTCTCAATACGCCCTTCGGGTAAAATTACAGAAGTGTAATTTCTGAGTCAAAGGTGAAGTGAAGAGAACATGAATAGATTTCTCTCTCTTAAGAACCTGCTATGAAGAGTACGTGGAAAAGTGTGTTAACTCACAAGAAGCCCAGCGTTAAGGGAGTGTTTTGTTTTGTTTTTAAGTAATCTTTACAGCCAACATGGGGCTTGAACTCATGACCCTGAAATCAAGAGTCTCATGCTCCACTGACTGAGTCAGCCAGGAGCCCCAGGGGAGTGTTTTTAAAAAGGAGAGAGATTTGTGCATTTTATAGGCAGAAAGGAAAGACTCATAACTATAACTCATAGCAAGAACTCCATTCTTCCTAAAAATCTCAGATGCTTTTATACCTACTTTCTTATCCCTGTGAACCCCCTAAAAGTTGGGTTCATTTGCTTCCTTTTACAGTTGGAAAGAGTTGGCCAGGAGAGAACCATGGAGCTCCACATGCAGATAAATAGCTGCTCAGGGGACTGGCTGACTGGGAATGTCACGGAATACATCTATCATCAAGACTTTCAGCTTGGAAATCCGGTTATGTAATTCAAGGTCAATATGAAAACAGAAGTCAAGCCTCAAACAAGAGTCAATCTTTACCCTTGAGGAATGCCGGGGATCGCTCTCCCCAACTGTTGCAAATGTGAACCTGTGACAGATTGCTTGGCAAAACATAGGTATTCTGTTTTCTTTTTCCCGAAGATTCTACTTACTTATTTGTCAGAGAGAGCGCTAGAGAGCAGCCGGCAGAGGGAGAAGCAGGCTCCTGCCTGATGCAGGACTCGATCCCAGGACCCTGGGATCATGACCTGAGCGGAAGGCAGATGCTTAACTGATGGAGCCACCAGGCGCCCAAAACACAGCTGTTCTAAATAGCGCTCCTTTGCTGCTTCTTCCTTCCCCCAAATCCAGACCTGTCCAGGTCCACCAGGAATGGTAATAAAGGTATGGTGCTTAGAACTCCCAGGAACTTCCTTTAATTATTAGCAAAGTCCTTTGGGGTTTCTCCTGAGAACTTAATGAGTCTGGAAATCTCTCAGAGGCTGGCGCGCTTGGGAAAGTTTGCTGAAACGTGAAGCTGAGTAACTCTGGCAGAAACAGAGGGATATAGTGAACTGACACCAAGTTTCTGGCCAGGGCTCGCCCAAGGAGAGCCGAGATGACAACTCTGAGGAACGGATGAGGAGGAAAACCAGGATTGCCCTTCGTTGAGGGTGCCTCTCTCCCCCTTCGGGAGAACTGCAGTCTGTCAAGCCCTCTCAGCTCAGAAGTGGTAAAGCTGAGGCACCGAACTGGCCCGCAAATCACACCTTGTCCCTAGACTTTCTAATTTAGGTAGGGACCACTCTTTCCATCTACATCTCACACCAGTCAGGTGGTGCTTCCCCACTAAGAAGCCAGCAATGGAGATCTGGGAATAAAGATGGAACTTTCAGGGTTGTTCACAGAAAAGTCTGAGGACTGCATAAAACATGAAAAAGGTCTGATTGTTGGAAGAAAACAGGCACTTTGAAAGCCAGACATGTAAGCTGCCAACATATATTCTTCTGATTTTTCAGAAAGAATCCAAGAGGGGCGCCTGGGTGGCTCAGTCATTAAGCATCTGCCTTCAGCTCAGGTCATGATCCCAGGGTCCTGGGATCGAGTCCCACATCGGGCTCCCTGCTCGGCGGGAAGCCTGCTTCTCCCTCTCCCACTCCCCCTGCTTGTGTCCCCTCTCTCGCTGTCTCTTTCTCTGTCAAATAAATAAATAAAATCTTTAAGAAAACCGGGGCACCTGGGTGGCTCAGTTGTTAATCGTCTGCCTTCGGCTCAGGTCACGATCCCAGGGTCCTGGGATCGAGTCCCACATCGGGCTCCCTGCTCGGCGGGAAGCCTGCTTCTCCCTCTCCCACTCCCCCTGCTTGTGTTCCCCCTCTGGCTATCTCTCTCTCTGTGTCAAATAAATAAATAAAATCTTCAAAAAAAATCTTTAGGAAAACCAAAAAAAAAAGAAAGAATCCAAGAAATGTGAAATGAAAGCAGGACGTCCGGGTGCAGTAGAGCAGATACTGTACCGGGATGCTGTTCTATCCTGTTCGACCCTGTTGGCAAGAGTTTCAGTTGCTGCATCTCAATGAGAAGGCAGTTTGGCCATATGTGATTACCTATGCCCTTTGACCTTATCTTTCTAGAGATTCTTCCAAGGAAATAATTGAAGAAGCCTAAAAGATCACTTTCACTGCAACGATAGGGGAAAGAGTCTGCAGTTCTGTGGTTCTGCCACCAGGGAGCAGTTTCTCCAACTTCCTGAAGTGTGGCTCATGAAAAAATGCTTTTCAGAGCAAAAGCAGAGAAAGCGTAGATACGCCCAAGGTAAGGAATGTTAATGCAAAACAGAAAACAAAACAAAAACAAAAACAACCCTTAAGTTATTAAACTTCAATTTTGCTTCTGACTTCTCAGCCTGAAAGAATGAGACTCCTATGAAAGAGGAATAGAAATGTATTTAGAGGAACTGAGTTAAAATACAACGTATCGGTGAGGAACTCTATATAAAGGGCTCTGAAAGTATTTGGGTCTCCAGAGATCCAGCCTAGGTCCCCAGGAAGCAGAGCCTAGGACGAAGGCCTAAGCAGGGACTTGACTGGGGATTGTGTGATCC